TTGACCAGATAAACACGGAGACATCTAACCTTGTTGTGTAAGCAGTGATAGTGGAATAGTTGCTGCACTGACACACTTCTTCACTGCCTCCCAATGACACAACTCTTGTGGAAAATGGATTCGAGAAGAAGCACTAAAGTGGCGAAGGCGAGCATCCACAGTAGAATAATGAAACTGGCTTGTACGTCCTCCAAGTGCAGCACTTCGTACTGTCCAGCGGCTGCGTCACTTCCACTTCCGTCGTTCCGGTTGAGGAAGCAAGTCGCTGGTTTGCGGAATATTTCATGGTGGTGCATGAAAGGCACGGCTCCTTCCAACAGCCAGCGGATTCTGCAAACATTAGCATACGTGCATGTGTATTAATTGTCGATTACATCGAACAGGTTTACTTTCAGTTCAGGACTATACACTTGTTAAATCAGGGACACTAGCCAAATAGAGAACAAAGCGAGAAAGTTATATTAGTTGTACAAACCGAGATTGGGTTTTACTGGGATTTACCTTTACACATCTGAGTGATAGTTTGCTATTCTTTTACCAGAATACAGACACTTGATGAGCCAGGCTTCCGTCAAAACCTCCACTTCATAAACTTAATTTTGTAACTCTTCTCTAAACATGCCTCTGAAAGGACCTGCGCTTGTTCCATGTGCCGCACTTGTGTGTTCAAATTTCAAAGTCACGTCCGGCATGATTGGGCAGTGGTTATGACGCTCGGCTGCTGACTCAAAGGTCGCGGGTGCGATTCCAGTCATGGCAGTTACGTTTCAATGGAGGCAAACTGGAAAAGGCCAGTGTACTCGGCGACGTACGTGCACACAAAGATCATAAGATTGTCACAAGCTTCGAAACGCTCCACTAAGTCGTATCTCACAAGCTTAACATGGTTTTGTAATCATGAACCCGTGGTATTAATAATACTTGAAGTTTTCATGAACCCGAGATAGCATTATTACTTGAAGTTTTTAATCACTAATTCCACCTCTATTTATTACTTTTGTACACCAACCGGCTTCATTGTGGTTCTAGCCACGCTTGTATGTCAGCCACATTAACTCACTGTATCTTTTTATATATGTCTCTTTAATATGGGCATTCGCTGACAGGTGCAAGTATTATTCTGAAACAATCAATAAGTGGCTTCACTCATGTTTGGTTTCGGTGAGATAAATTTCCGATACTGCTGCTGATTCTGCCATTAATTCTAAGTTTAAACTGACGTTACATCTCTAAACGTTGTGAAGAGCACATGTTTCCCCGCCGCAGATATAGTTAAAAGTTCCGACTGTGCCACTCACGCCAATAGTCACGCATACAATCTTTTCACTGACACATTCCGTAATAGTTTGTTGGTTGTGTGGCGTGACTACCACACCATAGGTTGCAGAATTCAGGCACGGCCGCGGTGACCTGATTTCGACAGAGGCGAAATGCAAGAGAAGTTTGTGTTAATAGTTAGGTGCGCGTTACAGGACCTGAGGTGGTCGATGTGTTTATAGCCCTTCATTACAGTGCCTGTTATAATCTCATAGTGGTTATGGAATGTAAAGCCAGCTTTTTCAAAAATAAATAAATAAATAACATCAAAATTTAAAAAGAGATCAATTCGGTGAGGTATTCGGTGCACGTGCAGTGCAACATGTAGCCTCTCCTACCTGCGGTCCATTGCAGCGACCAGTCGTGCATCCAAGCGCTTGTTCATGTACCACCGGAAGTCGGCTGTCTCGATGCGCTGCTGCGACACGTGGAAGAAAGCCGGTTGCAACTTATCGCAGTGGGGTGCGACGAATACGCGGTTGCCCGTTGCGTCCATGATGATGACCGTCTCGCCCGCTACTACCTGGCGTAGTGTCCGCATCGAGTACACCTCGCTCTGCTGCAGCTCGCCGTTCATGCGCTTGATGCGTCCGTGCAGTGTCCGGTAGCTGTCAAGGCCCGATAGCTGCGTCAACAATGTCACGTATGGGGGATACGGAGGATATGTTGCATATCGAGCTTGCGAACTGGCCGCAAGCGCACCATAAGTGTGACATGTAAATCATGCTGTACACGGCATGCATGTCGTGATTTGCTCGTTACCTTTGATTCATGTTCGCAATACAGTGACGTCACTCGACGCCTCTATACTAAGGCGTATATCCAGGTGTATATAGGAAGAAAAAAAACAATGTAAATGGGACGGTTAATTTCGATGTCGGCTATTGCCATTTTTAAACTGGCACGCTAAGCCGCAGTTGCGTCGAACCTTAGATAACGTTGTATTTTCAATCGTGACACTCAGTGCAATGTAACTTGCTTCACAGCCAAAAATAAGGATAACGTTTCGCGTGAAACAAGTGACATAATACTCAGCTTCGCGCTTAAAAAGATAAACATTAATTGAGGTTTGTCGTAACTGAGCCTAGCGTGCCCGTGTAACAAGAATGGACTAGGTCCAGATGAAGGTTAGCCCATTCGGATGATTGCGAATGGCAATTTTTTAAAGCCAAGATTGCGAATGCGAAAAAAAAATTATCGCGAGAAATCCGATTGTGTTGGAGGGGATATGCCTCACGAATGTAAATCGTGGTTTTCCTGTCTGAGTCGTCGAACAACGGACGACACTCATACAGTGCCCAGAAGCTTACAAATGGCCTCACAGTGGGCCTATTTGGTGGTAAAAATGCTATGCATGGTCGCAATTACTTGTGGCCGCATTATGACTCCGAAAAATGAATGTCCTTTATCAAATAACAGTACACTATGTTAGGGCAGTTGCTGCATTGTTATTTGAAATAGAAGAAAACGTTAGAAACAGGAATAACGAAGATGAGAGACAAAGAACACCAACTGACAACTAAGCAATTTAGTGAAGCATTCGCAATATACAGTCTATTGCAGTACTTGTGCAAAACTGTTTCACTCACTGCACATGCAGGTAAGAAGAGACAAGGAATGTCAACATGCCGCAGTATCTGAGAAACCTCTAAAGCAAATAAGTTATAGTCTAATATCTTGAAAAAGAAATAAAGAATGGAAGCAAAAAAAAAAAACAATTTGCAACTTTGCGCCACATCTTAAAAGTGCTTTATTGCGCATTAGAGAGCCGCAATCATCGCCGCAGCAGCGTAGTCGTTGTGGTATACTCAGTAGCACTTATCTGCTCACGCAAATTGCTCCGGTACAAGTCAACGGTGGCTGCTCACCAAATGGGCGGCCGACAGAAAGGATACAAATATATAGATTGTGGCAGCTCAGACAAGCCATTAAGCATTCGCTGCCACACGCGCCTTTATAGGCGAAACCCATGAATTTTCATCTACTGCTCGTTTGGCTGACGATCACGATCGTGGTTTAAGCAGTCTCACGAAGAAACAGACTATCAGCGTGAATTCATCTCGTTCGCGACGGCCCTCCTGGCACGATTATACACTTGCTACACGGGCACGCTAATCTCAGTTACGACAAACCTCAGCGTTTATAAATTCATTGCAAAACTGAGTCTCACGTGACTAGCCTTACGACCCAAACAAAGGATAACATTTCGCACGAAGCCAGTCTCGTGATACTCAATTTTACGATTAACAATATAAACTTGAACTGAGGTTTGTCGTAACTGAGTTTAGCGCACCCGTGTAACGAGGGTGTTCACCGCAACGTTCTTTTACAAGAGGTTAGAGAGGCAGTGGCATCTTGTCTCGGACAAGACGCGAGATGGGTGACCGGGTGTTCAGAATGGACAAGTTGAGTACTTTCCTTGCGCCATCACCGCGGTTCCGGTATTTCGCGGCCACGAATGGCGCGCGCGTTATCTGCGTGACATAGCATTCCCTACAAAAAAGTGGCCAACGCCAGGTTTTCAAGAAAAAGGACGCTAGCACGTCAGATGACAATAATTGTTGTGTAGCAGATCTTCTCTCCGAATGCTACATTTTTTCTTAGTGTGTATGTTCAGCATGATGCATGATAAGGGCACCAATGGAGTTGAACGTGAACAAAGTAAAGTATGCGTTCTCTGAGACTAAGAACACGGTAGAGAATACGGTACATCATTGAAGAAGCACCGTGGGTTGGTTAGTGCCAGAAAGTGGTCTCAAAATAGACCAAAGCTAAATGAGGAAGAAAAAAAAGGAAATGAAAAGGGGAGAGCCAAGCGCGGACTCCAGGGAGAGAAGCGGCGCGTTAGATGAATGTGCTGCCTCTGATACAGCGGTGACGGAAACAGGCGGAGCTTGCCGCTTACTCTATGTTGTGCAGTGTATATTTTAAGGGCTTGGGTTTAATTCCACATCACGTCATTTGTCTGTTTATCTTTCGCGTTTCTTGAGCGAGATGATCGCTCTTGCTGACGTTTGTAAAAAAAAGTGCTCTGGACAAAAGTAAAGCTACTCATGGTAGGAATGTTGGTCCAGCCCCTTCTTTCAACGTGTGGTCGCTGATATCACAGACACCGGGAAAAGCGCACTGAAAAGATAACAGCTGCTAAGCCAAAAGACGAAACTTGGGGTGGGCAAAATGCTAGATACACGTGTATTGTGCAATTTTAGTCCGTGTTGAAGAACGTTAAGTTAGTCAAAATTATCGAGAGCCATCTACTTCAGCGTCTTTCAAAGTTGAATCAGTTTGAGACGATGAAAGCTGAACAACCACCTTCGTTGATAACCATTGTGTACTTGAGTTCATGAAACTTGTAGATATATAGTACCTTGACCGCATAAAATGTTGATTACAATTGTAATTTTTTGTCTGCTTACAACTATAATTGCTTCATTGTGTGTAGCAACGCGACCTTACTGTATTTAGAATTCGCAGCCATTCTTTTAGAGAAAATGAGTGCTCACGTGATGTAAGCAAAGAATGCTCGCCCGTCCATGTCAGCCTATTTGTCTATCCATTGCGTGGCTTTGTTTTGTAGTGCTTGTAGTGTGCAAGCCTTCTTAATACATTTATGTACATGAGCCTATCTTTCTCTGTGGCACGCTTCGTGAATGGTCAAGAGCCTCAGCAAACAAGTCTTGTTAACCACGTTATTTCGGGGGTCGATAAATTCGACGAAGTTTTTGTTTAACAACCATCGTTTTTCTTTTATTTTTGACCATCATCACTAATAATATGACCGGCTTCACCAGTGCGACAAAGTTTTCGTTTCACAACCATCGTTTTTTTCTACTTTTTGGCCATCATCATTAATGATATGACCAGCATCATGAGCGGTTAATTTTTTTTCTCCCATGAAATATTCTGGCGTTGATACTTGTTCGTTAAAACGGGTTCTGGTCAATATGCTCAGCATGACAAACATTATTCGTTGACACATCATCAGAAAAGGAAGTCATTCTATTTAAAACTTCTGTCTCACCTGAAGCATGTTCATGAGTGGAGTTGCTTTCAGGGTCACCGGACGTATGGGGGGTCGCCGTGATAGCATTTCTTCGAGAGTGTCAATATGGGAAACTGGAGAGCGGATCAGCATTGCCGCCTTGACCTGCTTTCAATATATAAAAACAGATGATGATGTTAAATTCATTGAACGATAGGGTTTTCGAATGCAAATCACCCGAAAACGCGCTGCTTTTCGTAACATTACTCGTAAAGAACAAGTAGATATTGTGAAAAAAAAAGCTGTGAGTCTTACGCCTCGTGGAAATCGGTGTCATGCTATGCAGCCGGCGAGTAATTGTCTGCGTTCAACTTTTCTTGGATTTGAGGCAAGTGTTACGAGATGGATTGATGTTAAGTGCAGTAGCTGCGTCGAGGGTTTCTCGAGAACGTTCGCAGCTCCAGCGTTTACTACTGACTTAGCTAGATAGCCTAATTACGGTCAGAACCAACGTTAGCACGCACTGAATCTGACACTTGACCGAGTTGTTTGATGTATAAGTTAGATTTACCAGCGCGAAAATACCAAACACTTAAGAATAAACGCACACTTACAGCCTTGAACGCGCAACTTATTTTTTGCACTGAATGCAGCCTCTTTTTTCATGGCACGCACCAAAGCAACAGAAAGATAGCTTTATGAAAACAAGCGATGAAACAACACAGTGACACCTGGTAGCCTACAATGATAATTAACCAGTCAATCAATCAAATTGGGACTGCTCTGTCCCCTTTGGCAATCTTTTTTTCGGTGGCGTAAAGTGGTCCACACTTAACCTGATCAAGGCACTTGAACAAAAAGAGGTAGAGGACTTCTAGGTCCTTGAGACAAGCGCGTGATGCTATAAATGGCTATGTCATACTTTATTTTTCCTGTGTTACGCAAAGAAACGACGACAGTATACGACAGCCTACGACAGCCTACGACTGTCTACTGTATAGCCTCTGATGAATACGATGCGCACGACAGCATACGATAACGTAAGATGAATATGACACCGCACGTCAGCTTATGCCCCTGAAGTGCTCTGCACTTAGGATTCCTGCTCCGGGGATCGCAGCTGGCAGGAACGCCTTTCCGGGTGGGTCACTCACTGTAAACCTATTGAGGTATCCAGGTAGCTAGCCGTTCCCATCGCGGGAGTGAATTCCTCGACAACTTGAATCATTAGGAGACATACTGCTGCAAATTAGATTTATTCGAGGTGATATGCGACTTTAAAACTTGTTGTTCGGCTAATTGGTAGCTCGTATATTGCGAGCACTGAGCCGCAACTTACAAATCCGCAAAACACCCACCCATTAAGACTCGCTCCCGCTCAAGAGACACGAACACACACACGCACAAGCACACACAAACACATCGTAAATGTTGTGTGGTGTTACCTGAGCGAAAGGAAACGTGAATATTTCTAGGAATTCTTAAGCTGCGATCAACCTACTTGGAATATGATTATTTACGGTAGAAATACACAGCACGAAGCGCGCCTTTTGTAATCAGTATTGCTCTCTTACCTGACCCATTATATACTGGCCGATGACCAACGTGCCGATCATCCACGATCCTAGGAGAATCCGAGAAGCCGTCGAGCGCAGGCGACTTGTGCTTGTTGCTGAGTGCGTTTTCGTTCGTTGAAATTGAAAGAAAAACATTGCCATTCGTATTAGAAATTGATTACAATTACAATTTGGAATTACTATGAGACACGTGTGTTATGGAGGAAGTAACGAGCGCAATTGAAAAAATTAAAAGCTGAAACACTGCCTCAAGTAATATGAACGTGTCAATATACTGAATTGGCAATATACTGAACGTAATTTTAGCTCAGTCATTCAGACTGCTTGGGATCTTCGTAACGTTTGTGGCATGCTTGTGCTAAAGCTACCAGGATATAAAAATGAAATCACTATTTGAATGCCAGTATTATATACGAAGGTGTCACAGTAAGAGCATACTGTAAAAATTATACGAGCACTCTTTTTTTGCTCTATTTTTTCTTCTTTGTAGTCGTTGCCTCACTCCACAGAGTTTTTGCATCCTTTGCTGGATTGGTCTGGGCTCGCGTACTGCGAGTGCAGCTGAAGATGAAGAAGGCAGCGACAACGAAGTAAAAGATGAAGAGAGCAATTGCCGGTTCACGAAGATCGTCATTGTCTGTCTCTCACCAAAGGCCGCCTTAACCAGCGTCCTTGTTAAAAATCGTAACAGCATCAACATGATCCGCTGTTTGAGAGCGAAATCATGTCGTGGAAGCCCTATACCTGATCATATTACTTTCAAATCGAGGGCTTCAACTCCGCCCTCCTAGGAAATCACAGAAATGTTTTTTTTTGTTTTGAGAGCGAAGTGTTAGTACGCATGTCCCACTAACAGCACAGTCTAATCCACAAGAACACTGCTGCAGTTTATGAAAAGCAATCAGTGTTGCATATCGTTTGTGAAGATGAAAAATTCTTGATGACTTTAAAGCGCCTGCATTCAAGATACTTGACTCTGTCTTGTACATCTGGCACTCATTTGTGTTTACTCTAATAATGACTGAAAATAGGGTTAGCTTTCATCTATTCTTAAGACAACCTTCGTTTCACTTATGGATGCAGTGGCACATTGTAGCGAATTGTAAGCCGCGTGCTTGGTGCACAAAAAAAAAGTATAAATGGACATTCCTAATTCCTCAAAAGTTGCATTAGCATAGACATGTTAGTTACAGAAAGGTCTCTGTCTTTCCTTTCAAGAATGGAATGGTGCTTATTCATTTAAACAAATAAAAATGTGTACTTCGCCATTGTGAAAGCCACACTTGCTGACAGTGATTATTTTTGCGGTTATTTGATTATTTTTGCCTACAATGATTATTTTTGTAGCAAGTTATTGCGGTGTCATGTTTAAACACCACTAACATTTGAGCAGCAGTGATTCGGCGTAGACCCAGAACACCCACTGAAGTGTGGACATCCATTTCCTTCTGGCAGTATGCAGCGACACGGCGGAGATGACCACAAGAACGGCCATAGTGGCGAACAGTAGCAGCATAGTCTGTGCAGATTGTCAAAGCCCAGGCAAAAAAATTTGTGACGGTTGGGTTGCACCAAGGAACGTATTATAAAGTAAGTACAATTCTAGAGGCCCAAAATACGATTATTGATAATTTCTTGACTGATCTCTTATAGCTGCTAAACTGTCGTGTACCTTCCTGGCATCAACTATAACGGTAAGAATGTTTCGGGCTAAGAAAATGCGATGAAAGCTAATTACAGATTGGTGCGCATTAGTTTAGAGATGAGCTCTCATAGTAATGTGAAGTCGACACAAAGTCAGAAAAGTGAGAACACTGAGATTAGTTCCATCATGCGGATTCACTTGGTTTTTTAACGTGAGCCATCGCATAACATAGGATGATATATTTTATACATTCATATGAAGTTGTCTTACATAATTCCTATTACTACCATAGCATCTCAGTTGTCATCCCTTCAATTCGTCAGTATTATTTGGATGTTAGGTTATCTTTGGTCAGCCTAATGGCGAATACCACGTGTCTTGGCCAAGGTGCCTCTGTTTCGAACCTTGGACATATCGGGAGAAAGAATACCTATAAGCCGACCCTGATGAAAGAAAGCTCAAAGTTTGCTATAAATAGCCTACCTGTTCATTCATTTTAGGAGTTTGCTCATTAAGCTCGCACCCTTTTCGGCAACTGTCGGCGTTTACACCGGTGTTGCCATGTACACTTAAGGTCCGGTTGCCTCTCCGGTGATTCCAACCATGCTCATCAGCTAAGTACTATCACTATGTGTTTAAGAAGATGGCATGCCTTCCATAGTGGCGTGCCATCTCCTTGAATACATAGTGATAATACATAACTTTGTGGCTAGGTGGGACAAGCTACCACCCGATCTAAAGGGTACAGCCGGATACATCCTTGCATCCATCCATTCGTCGGTTTTTGATTACCCCCGCGCTCGCCTCCTTGCCACTACGTCCACTTCGTTCTTGGGCGTCGCTTAGTAAGCACGGCATCAAGTGACAAGTTCCTACGATGTGTGTTAGGCACGGGTACCAATATCCTCCCAAGCCCTCTCACCTACTAGTCTCAATCACGTTCAAGAGCGCCTGACGGCTCCACGTGTGCCATTTATGAGCGTTGGGCGTTTGACTCATGGCAGCGGCCAATGTGTCGTAAAGGGGCTGGTGGTTAATGTGCTGATCGACGTGGCCAACAACACTGTGCAGTGGCGGTTGGGGAACGTGCTCGACAACGCTGCCTTCAACGTACACTTCATGCGCCGGCTCGTTAATAAGCCTCTCTACAGAAAGGGTCTCGCCAAGAAATGCCTCGTGCACCTTTGTGTAAGCTCCTCTAACATCACTCGCTTTGTATATCTGGCGGTGTTCTGTTTCTAGCTCCTACAGCCCTTTTGCTAGATTACAATGAACATGATTAGATATAGTGACATCTCTAACATGTTAGCTTTCCGCTCATAATCACAAATACAGGTGGTCAACAGACGCTGATGCGCACGTTGACAATCTCGGAACTGGTGTCAATTAGTGCGAGTATCTAGGAATAAATTGACTAATTAGATACTGATGATATCATTTGTGCTTCTGGGTGTCCTTTTCATGTATGTGTTTATGTGTGTCAAGCTTTAATTTGACAGATTCTTAAATTATAATAATTATACTTCATATCATACTTGGTGAGTTTCGTGGTGTAAAATACAGCGAATACAGATGACTGTATTTGTTCTGCTCATTGGAATAAAGACGCCAGCTTCTAGTTCACCGCTTGTCCTGTCACCCCCTTCTCTTTTTTGTCGTCCTTATATTTTGCCCCATTAAGTTAAACCAACTGGCACAATTTTTACGCTGCTATATGCTTGCATTTCACCTTGACCATGAACGTTTTGTATAAGTGCAGGTATCCAAAAATTTACTAGAGCGGATTTGGACCTTGTTGCAGAGAAAGTATGCAAAATGAAATGTGCTTCTGAACTGTACAAGACTCGTTCTACAACATCGTGACATGTTCACACAGTGGCATACATACAATCAAAATGATCTTTTTCTGGGTGAAAAGATGCTTTCAGTTCGATTTATATATTGGCTAGAAATGCTACTTTAGAAGCGAAGAAAATGTAGAAGTTGTATTACACATTATATAGATATGAACACACTTGTTAAGCTGACTTGGCTGATCAATACGGCATTAAGCTCTTCATTGTTTCAGCATGCACGGACGTACTCCTTCTTCCTAAGGAGTGTGCCTCACACCTCAGGCCATGGCTGGACACCCGTCTAGCTACATGAAGTGCATTAGCATAAGGTAACATCGTAACACTGCGTTGATTTGCAGTGTGATTGCCTAATATTGTACTGCTGAACACAAGTTTCTTGAGGCACACGTGTTAGAAATGTGACCTTTGGTGGAAAGGAGTGAGTGGAGGAGAATGCGCCAGGCAAGTAGGGTCTTTTCAGTCCACTCAGCATTGGCACGTCTTCGTAGATATGCGCTTCGGCCGCATACACGTAGCGCAGGTAGTCCACTTTAAGGGAGAATGGTCCCACGGCTACGTCCGCTTCCTGCGAGAGGCGATGGATTTTGTACGACACCATTCTTATTCCCAAGCGAAACCTGTAACGAGTTGTTGTTGACGTGGCAACGGCAGCGTCACCGCTTGCGAAAAACAGGGGGCCAGCTAGTCAACAAATGTGGAGCCCACCAAGTTGAGCCTGTCACAAGTGTAGCATATGTGCTATTCGTTAATAATTATGCTCTCTCAATAGTGAGCTTTTCGGCCATCAGCCTTTTCTCATACAGCAATTTGATACTTTATTGAAGTAACATGTCATTTTAACGTTTTCACATGTCAAGGTTGCCGGGGTGAACGCATTTGCCTAATTGTTGTCAGAAGCAAACGTAGGTTCAAAGCCTCGCAATGAAGTTCCATTTCCTCACGAGACCAGTGAAGGTTCAATTCCTCTCAGGAAGGAAGGGAAAAAAACTGGGATGTGTTACGTACAGTAATACATCATTGAGATTGTAGGATCAGGACCACTTGCCTGTTTGATTACTTACAATAAACACGGATGCAACTAAAACAATAACGTATCTATATTGAAGGTCAGGTGACGGCTAAACATAATTCTTCATAGCGGCCAACACACACACGAGTAATGCGCCGTGGGAAGCCTCTTAATCTGCTCATCAATAACAGTCACGTTCGCAGTAAGTGCACCTTATGCTGCTATCTGCTCTCTGGTGGATATGGCGGGGGGAACTATTCCTGAAGATTGAAATAGACAAGCACGTTATTAGGCATTGATGGTGATGATGGCGGCAGTCGAACTGGCAGTGTTAGAGGTGCTTTCTACGGCTGAGCTTCCCATAGAGGAAGGCAATGCAAAGTCGGGCATTTGGCCCGGCAATTTTCTGCTGAATCTTAGCATTGGAAATATTCACGTGTGTTGACTTACTAACTTATGTACCACAGCGTGAATTCGTAACCCTTTCATTAAAATCTCGCTAGACAAAGACAACGCAATGCGTATAGATATCGGCTTTATTGTTTTCTAAGCCCCCGTGAAAATCCATAGTAGTATATACGTCTGGAAACGTAGTAGCAATACTCTGACATTTATGGCTGCATTTGGCAGAGCGTGTATTTATTCTTTTTTTAAGCACCATTCGTTAACGTAAGCTAGGAATTTGGACACTATACAGCTTCTTGTACACTTGATTCTTGGATGGTTTTATTGTTTGATTCTTGGACGCTGCGCTTGTGTATACGAACGACCACAGCTGGCCGTGGTGGCGGTCGTCCGTTTGTAGCTTCAGTGAACATCAATCCTGCGTAGCGTGTGCGTTTCTCTGCTTTTGGTATTAGTGCAGTACTATGACCGCCACATAACAAAAAAAACGTAGTAGAAGGCACAAGAAAGAAGTTGTTCGATGTGAATTTTCCAAGAAACACAACAGGTACACACGTTTCTTTGCAGCATTCCAAGTGGGCCGGTGAAATCGCCATCGTCAAGAAGGTTTCCCCAGTGCTCGTCAACGCTGTCTAAAAGATCGTAACTGCAGTACAAGGACAAAAATGTGCAAGCGTTGCGTAAATTTCTCAATCATGGTACACTTACTTCGAGATACGCTTGTTCATCACAGTAATGTCTTTATATATGTTTCACTATGCAGGAAACCAAAGGTAAGGTTAGAATTTGTTCTTAACTAGAATTGCATATAAGTTATAGTACACATGTACTTAATTTTGAGAAGACAGGCTCACTTTTGATTTGTACTGATTTACATGAAAGAATAAACCACTAGTGAGTCCTTCATATCATCGCGAGGAGGAAGTACTGGTATTCTAGTAAACTTTTATTTAAAGAGAAGTTTTCTGGATATTTGTAAAATAAGCAGCAAGCACATAATCAGGAGTGCTTGAAGGAGAAAATGAATTTTGTTCTGTGGCCATATATCTCAAAAGATTAACTCAGAGAGCTGATTTCAGAATGGAAAACTTACCTGATGTTCAGGGACGCCGTGATATTCCCGAAGAGCGAGCCTGTAAGCCCATATACTTGTCTCTTTCCGTCTCGTACTGTTGTCATCGTGTAGGGGAAATAGTCAAACTGAAAGAGTAAAGTTAAAGTCCTTATGTAATATTTGCAAGTTGTATCAGGAATTACTATGGCGCACACATGCGACTATATGTTGGGTGAAATATGTGGTTTTAATATTTTTCACGTCAAATAAACGGAGTTTTATTTGGCAGTGTTGAAGAATTTGCGAAGATTAATGTTTTTAGGATAATAAAAACCCTCTTTCTGGCCGTGAAACTACTAGTAAAGTGAGCTCAACACACAAGACTCACCAATCTTGTTCTACGTTGCTTCAGTCTTATGGTTTGACATTGAATAACCAAACTTCTTCCATACAAACATTAATAATATTGCAAATAGTTTTCTAGCATGCTTGCTTAGAAACATTTAAATGCGGCCTACATTTTGAGTCGAATACATGATAATTTTTTTTTCATTTAACAGGCTACACCAATGGGCAAGATGGAAAAGCGTTCGAGGTGCAAATTTATGAAAGATAAAGGTGTAATGACTTTCTGGATACCTAGACACAATGTATACAATATTTTCCTAGGCGATGCATTCAGCCATTTTTCGTCCCAAGCACTCTAGTGAGCCATTCTTAGTTTTTCTTACGGCTTCTTTCAGAGTTGACTGTTCTACCTCACTTTTCGTGCGCTGAAGTAGAGGTTTGAAAGTTCACACGAACGCAGCCAAATGGCGTGGCATGTGGGCAAAGCAAGCATTCATGTCTGCGGCTGTACTGAGCCATGATTTGCACAAGTCATTTTTGTTCTAAGTGCCGTAAAACAGCACTTAGAAAAAGTGCAGTAAAACACTAGAACACAACTTATGATGAAAAAGTTTTGGTCAAGTGATGAATCATTCCCGCCATCCCACTACTATTCTCAAGAGTGAAGCCAAACATCACCGAGAGTGCGGCTGGAACGTAACCTACAAAAGACGTTTGAGCATGAGCTGGTTCAATCGCACCCATTTATGCTGCTTGTAGTGGCGTCGGTCAATGCTTCGTAGAGGCACAAGTTTTTCATATGAGCCATTTCACGCTAGTGCATGAACGCGTAGTGTTGTACTAGTACATGAGAGCTAGCTCGATTACTATTCGTATTTTTTCGAAATCCCGACTTTCCTAAAAATAATTATTTACATTTGATGCCAAACAAGCAAAATGCTGAAGTAACTTAAATATTATTTGATATCGATCAGACACTGGCGAGCCTGGAAGCTGGTTTTGGAGGTACGGCTACTGGCCACCTAGGATACTTTGTGCTCAATCGTTGATCCAAACGTCGCGAGAGTCTTGTTCCGGCTGCAGTGTGCGAATTGACATCGAAGGAAAATGATAAAGGTCAGTTTGCCAAGGTTCAAGTGCGCGTCGATGACTCCCGTGTGGCCGAAATTTCCAGAGCCCACCACTATGGCGTTTACCCCAACCATTTCCTAATTTTGAAACGCAAAATTCACAGCAATAATTACTTTTTAAGATACTCACTGGGCCCTTGACAACTTTGAGGACAACGTTCCCTAAGCCACCCTCAGTCATCGTGGTTCAATGTGAGCTTGTGGTATGCCGCCAAGGTAGCCCTAAAGGAAGAAAAATGCCGTGCCGTGCTTCTTTCTGTCTGCTTATGCGCTGCAAGACAGATACAAAACCCGTCTAGACCAAGCTTAAGCTTTTTTAACCGCGTTACCAGAAGATTTCTTACCCAATCCCAATATTTTTACCCGCTGTTTGCGCAGATATTGAACCTAAGAAGTTCACTTGCCGCATAGCAACATTTGTGAAAAGATTGTATCGTATAAGACTGTCAAGGCATCGAAAAGCTAAGAAACTTTGTCAGAGCTGGAGAATAGACGCATCCCCTTGGTGCCATTTCAAAAGAAATATTTCGTGTTCCCCTCGTCACCAGGGATACAACTGTCGATACAATCTCATAAGTTGCACTGCTGTCGTTTATGCATAAGTATGGGACTTGCGATGCAAACACCTTGTTGGGATGGGTATGCGAGAACTCTAGGCAAGACATTGCGGTGTTTCTGGCGACTATAACACTTACCTCCACTCCACGTTGTTAGATATCAGCGTTTGCCCTTGAAACATCCATTAGGAACTAAAATGCTTTGCAATCGTGCTTGCCTGGCGTGACGAAAAATATACATAGGTCAGTGCGAACTAGCAGAGATCCCCATTGCCGATGTTGCACTCAGCTACTTCAAGTGAAGTTGGATACTTCGAAAGGACATTGCGTCGTTAGCATGTGAAGGTCGATGAGGCAAGATGCAGTAACTAGCAAAGCGGAACATAGAAACGCTTCACGAAAACATCGACAACCCAGCAATCCACCAAGTTAATTTTCGAAGATTCCTGAAACTTGCATATTTCAGGTATGTTTGCAGTTAATAATGATGTTCGGACCCAGTCCTCACATGCATGACTGCGCCCTCAAATTGTTGTTTTTGAAACCTCAGCGTCACAAAGTCATGCCTGAAAGAGATCTTTATGCGGTACGGGATAAAAATACAAATAAGTACGAACAAGTGAGGACATGCGAAGTATTTTATCGTCTTCGCTATCGAGTCTTGTTTGCTTGGTTTATATGTTTGCCAATATATAGCCGGATGGTTAAACGATTCATGGGAGCTGAAGTCACCTCAAATTCACACGGAGTCAACCTGAACCTAAAGTGAGTCGATGAAACAAAGTCCTGTTGCCTCACATGAATACAGGGTCGGAACGCAAGCGGAGGAAAAGAATATTCACGTGTCGAGAACTAAGGACACAATACCCAAATATGCATATAAATGATAGTCTAATTGCACTAAGTCTGCAAAAGCATTTTGCAGCGACTGCCATATCACACTCCAAAAATGCTCAAGTCTTTCCGTGCACTGATATTCCGGTAGATTTCTGTATCCTTTTTTTTTCACAAAAGATTCATCTCATGAGGCAATGCGAACACTTCCAGTTTTGGGTGTTGAAACTAAAGTGTACCTCCTAGATTTTTATTGCTCAGACAAACTAACGTGCTGAGGGGGCAGGTTCACATTACAGTACTCCAAATAAAAGTATTTTTGTCTACTTCCCAATTCTTGGTGCCACCAAAAGCTTTTATCATTTTAGGCCAAAAGAATAAAGCTTATGAAAGCTAGCGTGACGTTCTGTATTTATATATTACCATGAGTGGAGTTGCGATTTCATGACCATTTTCTTCGGGGAAGAAAAGAATATACGTGATTTATTCAAAAGCTAGTGCTATTTTCATATGCTATGCTCATATACAAGGTCCCGTCATATGCGTACACCGATGTACGAAATACGTGCTCGTTATCGTATTTCATTACGTGTATACTATGGGGCTTTCAAGCGGCACATTCCAGGGCTCAATACAGCCATGCACAACAACTAGCCCGGGAATAAGTGATAAGGAAAAAGAAAAGGAGCGTGAAGAAAATAACAGAGGGCTAACACGAAACAGAGGACAAGATGCAGAGGCACGATGGAGAGCATAGGAGGAAGACGGAGGCAATAAACGAAGAGCTAGAAAGACTGCACTGTGAACGGGACACACGGCAGCAAAGAGGCCCGACAACTGTAGATGTACCGCACTAACAGTGCAATGACGTGGTGGCGCTGTTGAAGGCCGAATAGAAGGGTAAGGCCTGTGAGGGAACGGCAGAGGCCCTAAACTGTTCCGAGGAGAAAGATCTCATGGTCAAATCAGGGTGTGAGGACTCCGTGGTGGTGAAAACAGAGTTGAGGTTAACGAAGTGCTGCTCCAGCCTCGTGCCTTGCCGCTCTGTAGACGATGGCGATTAGCGTCAGGGGTAGATGGAAGGCTCCAAAGTTAGCACCCAGAAACATGAAAAGGGAAGAAAGCTTGAAAAACAAAAGTGTGGCAGTGCTCATAATCAGCTTGACGCGTTTGACGAAGAGCTTCAAACGGCGGGTCGAATTGGCGAGAAAAGGGCCGTTGTCTGCTATGTTTGGTTTAAATCGCATGCGTCTTAGTGGACGAAGAAGAAAGAAACGAAAAGCACCATGTGCGCGGCAGCGCTTGATTGATCAATTGATAGGCAATCAATAAAATGGTGCGTCTGAGACAGCTGACCTGCATATCGTTGCTGATCAGCCTCAGAGGCGGGTGAAAGGCTCCAAAAGCTGCACCAAAAGACATCGAAAGCGGCGAAAGCGGCCTAAAGCCAAGGCTAAAATCACGGAGCGTTTGATGGATGTGTTCACACGGTGGCGCAAAATGGCGAGAAAATTGCCGTATTGTATGCGACCGGAGAGGCGAAGAAAACAGAAGCGCATTGTGTGTGCAAGCGGTTGGAGGGCGAGGGAATTTTTCTTTGTTTTCGCTGTGCGTTGCACGGGGTGCGGATCACTAAGGTCGGTGGTTTTCGCGAAGTGACAGGAAGGAACAATGACAAGTTTGTTTCGAGGAACGTCACAGGGTTTTGTAGCAAGGTTAGAGATCTTTGCGCATCTTGTACACCCCACTTGGCGACAGAAGCCTTCCGGGCGCAACCCCTGCGAGTTTGATTGAGAGTTGCTGAGAACAGCTGTTCGCTTTCGTAAGATGTCGACACAGGACTGTTGAAAGCAGTGTTTTGGTGTTCACTAAAGCAACGAATAGGTCTTTTTTCTTCGATGTCTTCGGCTCTTGCCGCTTAATTGAATAGTCTTGAGCTTTGTTCTCTTCTTTAGCGTTCTGTTTATCGCTGGCAGATAAGCAAGTTGAAGTTCATCGGAAATTTAGTGCGCGCCTCAGAGTCAGTTGAGGACGCTAGAAATGAGCAACTTCGATAGTGTTAGGAAGCTTTCTCTGGGAATTCTTTTGCCGTTCCCGTTGTGTGTGTCTTGCGAAAACACTAGTAAATAGAAGGTCAGTGTGCACCACTAATTTATTAGTGGCAACGTAGGAGTCGAAATCAAAAGGCACGCTAAAGTTGTTTTTGTTTGTTAACTGATTCGCAAATGTTCTCTATAGAAGCAATTAGAGAATGGTTTCCGCGGGACCGATGACTCGAGCGTGCTATATATTTCTGTGGCGTTATGATCATGTTCATTTCCCCTGTCGTTATTTTATTGTGTAGTTGATTGTAAAGGGAAGTTTCTTTTGAATTCATTTTTTTGTGCGCACTACTTGTTTTCCCTATTGTGGTGCGTACGGGAGTATTTCCACTGCTGCAGAGAAACGCACTCAGCAGTATTTTTTTTCTTCTCTTGTCATGGTGTACATTCACGTGGTGTATTTTGTCTGGAGGGATGCAATGTACTGCTTTACGTTTTTTCTTGTGATAGGCCTTGTGATAGGCAGTATCCACTCAGTGTTTGTCCTTACAAGACGGATGTGTGGGCGTATGTTATCATACGTCCCACTTGGATCATTTGTTATCATACCCATCCGGGAGAACCGATGAAGGAATAAAGTTAAGTCTTGATGTATGATCTCTTGATGTGTGTGTACCTTGCACTGCAAAGGAAACAACACCTAAGTGTTACAATACGCGCACACATCTTTCATGGTGTGACGAGCGGACGAACCTCGCCCGCATTACGAAAAATTGTGAATGGTGGTACTAAAACATTAGCCATCTCTTTAAAATACAGAATCTCGAAAAAAAGGCAGCAGGCAATATGGCTGGCTAACAATAATTGCAAGAGGGAGCAGGCGGGGCTTTATTAAGCCCAGGGAGCCGAAAAAGCTAGTGGACTCCTGGACTGAAGGCCATACCTGCTTGTACAAAAACAAAATAATCAATAAAGGTTTTACTACAACAATACAAATCAAGACCCCCCCACCTTAAGACATCGACGCCAATAGAGTTCACAGCTCTTCGGGCCGCATGGCAATTCTGTAGAGGTCAATGGGCACACAAACGTACCATTATCAGCGATTCTAAAGTGGCACTGCAATCACTTCTATCACCTTTACGCCGAGGCCCACACGAACAACTGTGTTCGAGACTGCAGAAGAGACACTACTTATCTGATAAAAAACGTGAAATAGCCTTCTCAATAGGATTCAAATCAAAGTAAAATAATTGGCAATGAACCGGCCGACCGAGCTCCTCGTTCTGTTCATGCTGAAGTCAATGTGAAATCATGTACGCTTTCCAGAACTTACGCTGCACAGAAGTTCTGCTTGCTTATTCGCGAATGCATTATGTCGCAATAGAACAAGCCACAATTCACGCACGCGCAGTTATATACCCTATACGCAAATCCCAGTCTTCATATCCCTCCAGGTCTTCGCCGTATACACTGCTGCGCAGGTTAGGGACGGGTGCCCCATTTACCAATGCGTACGCGTTCTGCACAGGAATAGCTGACACTGCAACCTGTGACCATTGCGGCAGTCACGAGACAATTCGGCGTGCTCTGTGCGAGTGTCCGCAGTACTGCTCGCAGAGATAATCGCTCTGCAGCCCTCTCAATAACTGTACAACTACAATCTTTCGGAGGAAAGAATCCTTCGCTACCGACATTACATTATGTCGCCAAAAGCTGTGAAGGAGCTGCTGTGCTTTCTTCGTTCAACCGGTTTCTCCCAACTATTGTGAGTGGAACACCCTGTATG